CCATCCGAAACAACATCAGTAACGCCGGTCATAAGAACAACGCACCGCTCCCTAGCCGCAAGGCTCGAAACAACGCTCGCTCTTTGCTTTACAGAGAAGAGTGAAGCACCAGAGTCAACACCACGCTGCTGACTGGAGTTATCAAGCTGATACCCACTGGCACGCGCCACAGCGAGGATCTCACTCTCGTTTCCCTTGATCAAGTCGAAGTAACCAGCACCCATTAGCTTGGCTAGAGCGTCTCTTCGTATGCTCGTTGCCCCTGCGCCTACAGGGTCAAGAACAATGGGTCCACCAGCGGCATTGTAAGCAGTGATTGCTGCTTGGTAGTTTGCTAGTCCTTCGGGGGTCACGGTACCCATGTTTACGACTAATGCGCCGCCTAATTTAGACAAATCCGCAGCTTCAGCGCTATAGTTGCTCATGATGGGGCTAGCACCTATGGACAGAGCGACGTTTGCGGCGAAGTTTTGGACAACAAGGTTGGTCATGTTGTGGGAGAGAGGGTTCATTTCTTTGACTTTCTTTGTCGCGGAGATGGCGGTTTTGAGGACAGCGGTTATTTCATCGGCGGGCTTTTCGTGGTAGAAATTTGGAAGTGAGGATTGAGGAGCGAATGGTGGAGGCGTCTTGAGGAGGTGGACGAGGTGTGAGGATGCAGCTCTAGGGTCTTGAGCACCTATTATCGCGGATACTACTGCGACGCCATCGATCGTTTTAGGACGGGTGTTGGCGGTTGTTGGGGCTAGAAGTTGGTGTGTAATGCGTTGGGTGTTGGAAGCGTTGACACCGCCGATGCATACTGTCCTGACATTCTTCTCAGCGTCGTTGCCCTGGTCGAGATATCGCAGTATCTTTCTGATCCCAGTAATCCCGATGATGTCTTTGGTGTTCTTCTTGGTGTTTGTGGCATACAATGTGCCGATTCCTAGGTAGTCTGCTCCCAACTCGACGGCTATACGTGCTTCTTCGATAGACGAGACTGTTGCGCCGATGATTTTGTCTTTTCCTAGAAGGTGGCGTACTTCGCGAACATTCATGTCATCTTGACCCACATGAACACCCTCACAGCCTACTGCGAGGGCAACATCCACACGGTCGTTGATGAGAAGCGGGATATTGTGTGCTTTGCATTTTTCGTGGAGCTTTTTTGCTGTAGAGATGAGGACGCCAGTGTCTGAGGTTTTGTCTCTATATTGGACGATCGTTACACCTGAAGTTCTGAATCAACATGGTTGCACGTTTATGGATGTGCAGGTCATGTAACATGGAAATGCAACCGGGGCAGTATGTGACTAACCTCCAAGTAATGCCTGCTCAACTACATCAATCAGATCTCTTGAGCCCAGAATGGCTTCTGTAGAGTCTGTCACGAGATACAGGGAGTAGTCTACCTTTTGCTCAGCCATTATTGCAAGTGGACGCACGACTGGTGTGGAATACTCGATCTTGTCCGTCAATGCTGGAAATCTTTGAGAAAAGCCGCTATGGCTGATGACGCAATCTAGGTGCGGCCCGCCAAAGACTTCGATTCGGTTCGCGGGAGATTAGTAGCGAATGTAGACGTGTTAAGCGACAGCCTTACGTGTAGCTTACAGAACGCAGCTTGTTTGACGGTGATTGCTCGGCGGCGGCGTTCAACATTTTGCCCCACGTTGTCAGATCTAACATGGCAAGTGGTGTTCGGTGAACTGCGGGGCAATTCAAGGTTGGTACAGGACACATAATGATCGTGTAAACATGTCGTTTGTCAGCCACACATGGGTACCGCCTTCCTTCCCAAGGTTGTCGCGCCGTGTTCATGGCAAGCACAATTACCACAGTAAAACCACCATGTTCCAGAAGTCCGTGTATGATCACCTTCTGTCAAAGGCATCCAAGCGGGGGCACAGAACCAATGCTGTGCAACAGTGATGCATCCCTGCCCGCTGTGGTGAACCGACCATGCAGCAATTTCCTGCAACAACCGTTTGATGTTCCGTTGTTTGTGTGGACCAGAAAACTCTTTGTCCGTCGCCAATGCCCCAAAATGACAGTGCCAGCCACCTCAGGACTCGGCCGCCTAGTCTCACAGTCCAAGTGCTGGAAGCTCTGTGCAATTGCGTGAACAGCCAAAAGACAAATAAGTGACTGACTCAGGGCGGGGCTTCTGGAGGCGTTTGGTAGAACGGCCTTCACTAGCGTGGCTCGGCAAGTTCGAAAAACTAAGCGCAAGTCGGACCCCATATATCTTCCATCCACCACCCGCGGTTCGCACACACTCAACCTTCGCACAACGCAAAATCCATCAGTCGCCCTCGTCCACACCAGTGACTGCCACTGGCAACAGCACACACAACTCTGCCCCACACGCCAAACAGCCTGCTCGTCGCCAACCCGCGACCTGCCTAAACCGCCACTCTCGCCATCAGGCCACAAGCACAAACCGCACCTCAGAGTCGCCAACGACAACAGGAGTATATGTATTCGCGCCAAAGCTACTCCTTCCGAGTCGAACCTCCCCCCAAACTGCAAAAATTTCGCTGTATGCGGATACCAAGCAGTATCATCCACCAAACCAACGGCTAATCCACTGCCCCTCTTGACCTTGAGTCGCACGCACACAACCCACACATACTAGAGACTGCTCCTGCGCATGTCTCTTTCGGCCCTCGTCAACATACCTGATCCGACCTCGTTCGCCCGCCCGCCGCATAATCACTAAATCAACCTCGTCAACCAGACCCCCCGCACCACCGTCACCATGGCTACCGTCAACATTCGCCGCGATGTCACCGACCCCTTCTACCGCTACAAGATGGAGCGCATCCAGTCCAAGATCGAAGGCAAGGGCAACGGCATCAAGACCGTCATTGTCAACCTGAGCAGCGTGGCTCAGTCTCTCGCCCGCCCCCCTGCTCACGTCATCAAGTACTTTGGTTTCGAACTCGGAGCTCAGACCAACACGAGCCCCAACGATGACCGTTGGATCATCAACGGTGCCCATGACGCCAGCAAGCTCCAGGACTACCTTGATGGCTTCATCTCAAAGTTCGTCCTCTGCAAGAAGTGCAAGAACCCCGAGACCGATGTCCATATCAAGGACGGCAACATCACGCTTGACTGCAAGGCTTGTGGAAAGATCTCCGACGTTGACCCCCGCTTGAAGCTTAGCTCCTTCATCCTGAAGAATGAACCCAAGAAGGGCAAGAAGGACAAGTCCAGCAAAAAGGCCGAGCGTCGTGCTCGCAAAGAGGCTGAAGCCCGTGGTGAGGCTACCTCGCCCGATGGCGGCAGCCCCGGTGACAGCGCCGATGACAACGGCGACGATGGCGACCTGGCACTCGAGGCCGGCAGCGATGACGAGCTTACCCGCCAGATCAACGAGGGCGCCAAGGAGATCGAAGATGAGGACGCCAAGGAGGTTGAGTGGTCCATCGACACCTCTGAGGCGGCCATTAGGGCTCGTGCCCAGGATCTGCCCGACGACCTCAAGCGTGCTCTTGTCATTGAGGATGACGAGGAGGGCGGCTCGAGCTACGACGTCTTCGGCAAGTGGATCATCGACACTGGTGCCGAGAAGGGTGGTGTTGAGAACCTTGACAACGTCGACATCTACATCAAGGCCAAGGAGCTCGGCATCGAGGAGAAGCACCGTACTCTCACTGTCATTCCCCAGACCCTCTTCACTGAGAAGATTGTCAAGCAGATGGACGGTCGCGCCCCTATGCTCAAGAAGATGATCACTTCGGATAAGCACGAGAAGGCTTTCCTTGGTGGTATCGAGCGCTTTGTCGGCAACGACAAGCCTGAGCTCATTCCTCAGGTCTCTGCTATCCTGCTCAAGGTGTACGAGAACGATCTTGTCTCGGAGGATCAGCTCAAAGCCTGGTGCTCCAAGGCAAGCAAGAAGTATGTCGACCTCAAGGTCAGCAAGTCTGTCCGCAAATCGGCCGAGCAGTTCAAGGACTGGCTGGAGAACGAGGATAGCGAGGATGAGGACTCTGAATAGGATCCCGACTGTAGGGACACGTGGATGGTAAAAGTACGCGAAATGTCCGACTGTTGACTGTCTTTACCTTTTGTCTTGCTTGTCTTGTTTACTTTGTCACGGACGACGTGTAGGTAGCTCTACTCACGTCTGTAACACTTGTTTGGGCCAGTCCAGACGATGGTCTTGTATCCTTCTCTCCCCTCTAGTTAGCCTATAAAAAAACCTTGCTTTTGCACCGCCTTGCTTCTGTTACCTGCATTGCTATACCTGTGCCCCACTACCGTTCGCCGTTGTTAGTCCCCTTATACTGGGTGCTTGGGCCCACCACTATCGTGCATGTCGGGAAGTTTCTGCATGCATTAACGCGGTGAGGGCGTTGACACTGTAGGAACATTCCCATACCTATACTTTGTGCTAGTGAATTCTGAACGCCCCCACGTTGCGACTAATGCTCGACAAAACCATGCACTTTGACCACGCGGTCGTTTCTGCCGTCCACTTATCATCACTCATCTCAGCCTCTCCTCCTCTTGACATGGACGATAACGCAGGAAAAAGCATTCTCGGGGCTCGCCTAGCCCTAGCCCTCGCGCATCGACACGTTCTCGCACCGTCGATCTCCACAAGGACACATTAGTCTCCGAAGCTTAACCCCACCCAGGTAAGAACAAGCGGAGCTCCCATGCTCTGGACGGCAGGCCAAGCACACTTTTTTCACGACTGCGCATGGTGGCCGGAGCGCGAGACGCGACTGGCAGGATAGAACAAGTGCGGCCGTCTCTGTTTATAATGTGGCGGACCCCCACCTCGAAGGTGCTTTGCAACCTTTCGCGGCGCAACGATTGTACGGACTGTACACCACCGTGGGCGACTTCTGGAGTTTTGCGCTCACGTTGAATGCGAAAAGCTCCAACAAACCACCATCTAATTATACGGCTTTTTTCGATAAGCTTCTAATAGCTACACTAAGCCTTGCGGCTCAGGCGTCCCTTCCGTATCCTCCAGGATCAACACCAACGCGAAGACCATGAACCCAATTCAAGCTTACCCCGCAGAGGGCGTCGTCGTCCAAGATGCGCATCACGAACATTATGCGCCCGAGGCAACCAACAACAAAACCGGTGCTGGCACATATGTGACATCTGAAAATGAGTTGCATAATGATGCGCCTGGGAACGAAGTCCTGGAGCGTGATGCACAGACTAAGGGACGTTGGTTCCAGTACCTCAAGACGAAGCAATTCTGGATCACTTTGGTGCTGGGGCAGGGTATGTGATGAATCCAAATCTATCAAATGGACGACATTTAAACTGACGAAACGTCATAGTCCTCGCTCTCTGCATCACCGGTACCAACACTTTGTCGTCTCTCCTCGCCGAAGAGGGTACATCAATCCCGGCATTCCAATCCTTCTTCAACTACGTCCTGCTTAATATAATCTACACATCGTACACCCTTTACAAGTACGGTTTCAAAAAATGGGGTCGTCTTGTCATAAAAGATGGCTGGAGATTCTTCATCCTCGCTTTTATGGATGTGGAGGGCAACTATTTTATTGTGTTAGCATACCGCTACGTAAGTTCTTCGATCATATCATTTTCAAGTTGCTCGGGGCTGTACTAACAAACAACTAGACAACCATCCTTAGCGCCCAACTGATCAACTTCTGGGCGATCGCCGTTGTCGTAATTATCTCCTTCTTCTTCCTCAAGGTTCGCTACCATTACACGCAAATCTTCGGCATCCTTCTGTGCATCGGCGGTTTAGGTGTGATCTTCGGTTCCGACCACATCACGGGTACCAATAACTTCGGCGCTACAGATCAAGTAAAGGGCGATTTGTTTGCGCTGCTCGGCGCTACTTTTTACGGTCTGTCCAACGTTTTTGAAGAGTGGCTAGTCTCTGAGAGACCACTATATGAAGTCGTTGGTCAACTGGCCTTCTGGGGCATGTTCATCAACGGTACGCAAGCTGGTATCTTTGATCGCGCTGCTTTCCGCAGTGCAGTTTGGAATGCAAAGGTTGGTGGTTATCTCACAGGGTACACACTCATCCTTTCGCTGTTCTACTCACTTGCACCGGTTCTCTTCCGTCTCAGCTCCGCTGCTTTCTTCAACATTTCCCTGCTTACCGGAAGCTTCTGGGGTGTAGCGATCGGTGTCAAGGTGTTTGGACTGAACATTCACTGGATGTACCCTATCGCTTTTGTTCTCATCATCATCGGTCAGGTCATCTACTTCCTGAGACAGAGTCTGGTGGGTGAGGCGTTGAAGCCGTGGTTGGGCAAAGATCAGGAGAGGGGACATGCTGGAGTAGGAACTGCGAAGAAGAGGGTTGTTAGACCCGATGCTATTGTCTAAGGTTAAATATTACCACCCCGGAGCTGAAGGGATGATGCCCGGCTTTGTTTAGATACATGACGAAGTATACGACTTATGGAACATGCAGTATTGCAAGCTTCTTAATGGATATTCTTGAGGCCGACAGCCTTATGAAAGCGGAGCCCATTTTTACAAGTCCAGCAATGTACCTATTCTTTGCTCTGCAGCTTCGAAGACCCCGAGCTTAGCCTCGAGGGCAAGGGAGAGGTAGACACCTGCCTCAATCCAGAATACACGTGTCGCAAAATTCCCCCAGGTAACCCAATACATAGTGTACACGATAGCAATGCTAAAGCCGACGATGCCTGCGTTCAGGCTTGGTGTTGCAGACATCCAACCCTTCTCCAAAGCGATAGAGATGAGGTATACAGTTGCAAGTCCTTGAGGCACAAAAAGAACCATGGCCATACACGTCCAGTCATCGATAGCTAGACAAGGGGGTGAGGCGTAGCCGATGGCGCCTGTAATGATCCAACAAGCTAGGTTGCCTACGAATGCAAGAAGTGCGATACCAGGAGTCGAAGGGTGTAGAGATTGGGACTTGTAGCGCCTTGAACGTACGGCACCGTCATCTGCTTTTCCAGTAATCGGAGAGTCGGCGATTTTTATTTGGCTCATGGTGGCGGTAGGAGAAGACGATGGCGTTCTACAGAGCTGGGCTTTGTATTCATCTTTATAGCGATTCCTTGTGCGATACCGGATTCATATTGGCTGAGCGTTCAGAGGTAAGACAAGCGCCATGTAGTGCCGCGCCACATGTGGGTTCGGAACGGATCTCTCGGAACACTGGCGAATTAATGACATTACTTTCCGATTCATCTGAGCCTTTAGCTTGGCTGGGCGGTCATATGTGTATGCTAGGGAAGGTTTTTTGTGGACGGGTATATGGTGTTTGCTATGGTAGAACAACTAGTGGAGCTCTTGGTATTCGTCATTAGCCTGCCTTGGCCGAGCGCCACTTATCACCAGCCACGTTTCGACCTTACTTCCCACCATTAACCAAGTTTTCTACCTTGATATCGAACAAAAGCTCATCACTCCCTATCCGGATTATCCGTTAGCCTGAAACCTTTTTTCCTCTATCGAACATGTCTTCGCGCGGTCTCCCTGACGTGCTGATGCAGAAAGTCGACGACTATGTCGATTCGCTGGCACCCCAGATCCAGCCCCGCATCGCCTCCGAACTTGAGACCTTCCAACAAAAGACTATCGACAGTCTCGAGACGCAAGTCATAGACGCGTTCAGATCACTGTTCAACAAAGACAGGCCGTCTTCATCAGATGGCAGCCGCTCTGATCCCTGGAATCTCAATGACGCAGCACCTGATTCTTATGGTGGCCAGTCACTGCCCTTTGCGGATGAGATTTCCAAATTGACCCGAAGTTTCGGACAGATCTCTGATGAAGCGAATGGAGATTTGCGCGACATTTTTGATCTTACTTCGGGAAATAGAGGCGGTGCAGAGCAGTCTCGATCTGTAGATGGGGATTTTGCATCTGGAGCTAGAGGGTTCCTTTCTTCAGCACTCAATGTTGTTCAAGATCATTTCGATGACGAGAGAGGATCAAAAGGTGGCCAGTCCTTTGAGATTGGGGGACTACTCGGGATGATCAGTAGCACGATCAAAGATGCATCACAAAATCCCGAAGAGAAGGCGAGGCTGATCAGTCCAGAGATCAAGCAAACAGTAGGCGACAAGCTACGCGAGCAGCATGCACCTCTCGCTGAACAATTCACCCGGATAGCTCTGGATCACATAAAGCGCTGGCTTCGTGGAAACACAAGCACACGCGATCTTGGTGACGGTGCCAAGGCTGAGATTGCTGAACAAGTAGGCGACCTAGTAAAGGGCCTTGGAAGCTTATTCGGAAGCAAAAAGAGCAGCCAGGAAGAATCTTCCAGAGGCTTTGATGGCTCTAGCCGGGATGGCGAGAGTGGCAGTGGAAGCGGCTTCTCTCGAGTCATCAGCGACAAGCTCAGCACCGGTCTCGCAAAGGTTCACCGAGAGGTCCGCCTGGAATTTCGCAAGATCCTCGGACAAATCGAGAAGCAACTGTTTGAACTGCTACCTGATCAATTCCAACGGCCACTAGAGAAGATACTTGGCGGTAATCCGTTCGATTCACAGCTAGACCGCGACGCGTCAGGCAATGCTGACCGCGGCTTTGGCGATGACATCAAGTCCAAGTTGCTCAACAAGATTCGTGCTTTAGTTCAGAAGGTTCAGGAGACATTGCGAGAGAGCATCTTAGGTGTAGTCAATGGTGGACACCGCAAGTTTGAGCGCCAAAGCTGGGTCTTTGTGCAGGGTATGGTGGAACAGAAGGTCCAGAGATATCTACCTGACGTCAAGATCAATGTTCCGGACGATATCGGAAACGAAAATGTGAGTGTCGGATCACCGACTGCGAACACGCAGATGGGAGGAGGATACCAGCCTCCACCACAGCCACCCCAAGGCGACCATCGTCCTGGCCCTCCCCAAGGTGGCTATGGTGAACAAGGGCACGCGCCGCAAGGATACGACAACCCACCGCAGTACCAGAACTACAATCAATACCGAGAGGAGCCGAGACAAGAATACCAAGATCACCGGGCGCCACAATACCCACCGCCCCAACAAGGATATCAACAGCAAAGCTACCCTCCACAGAATCAACAGGACTTTCCTCATCTAGAGTATCGCGACGGCGAGTACCGTAGGCCGAATTATTAGATTACTCATGATGACACGAAAGCACTAGAACATGGTGCTTGTCAGACGTGCAGGGTCCAGCTGGAGTTTCGATCAGCTTGTGCCTTCTTCGATTTCACTGTCAACCTACGATTAGATAGCATTGGACAATGCAGTCGTCGGCTTCCCATTGATAGACGAAGTTCCACTTAAACGTTGTCGTCAGTTGTGTGCAGGTATAACATGTTTGTAGTTGTTACTGTGAGGGTAGCACACTGATTGTGAATGCCGAAGCTCGGCCGAAATTCCTTCATTACACGTTGCAGACGAACTACTATGATTCGAAGCGCTATCCAGAACGCCATCGATGCTAGAAACAAAAAAGAAGCCCATGGTATCATATGTCCTTTCCTCCCTGTAACACCTTGTTGAAGCATGCATCCATGCCTAGTAAAATTCCTAACGCCCAAATGCACCAACGCAATAGAACTTCATTACGAAGATGAAGATGCAGAGTCGTCAGCAGCAGGCGAAAGCGCCGCTCCACCAGCACGAAGGGCCTTTACAGCAATATCAACCTCGTTGGTCGCCATTTTCTGCCACTTCTCTCTCGTATCTTGGTCTGCCAGTGCATCGGCACCAGCTTCACCAACCTTTTCGTACAATAGACGTGACACATCGCGATTGACGTCTGTATACTCTTCTTTCGTGACTTCTTTCTTCAGATATATAGGCTTCAGAACGGCTGTGACCATGCGTTGCAGCTCAGCCTTGGTAGAGTAGGAAAGTGCGGGGCGGCTAGGCGACGAGTCCTTTGAGCGAGGGGGACTACTAAGGCCGACAGAGCGATGTGCGAGCCTGCGGCGGCCAGGCCGATCGTCGTCTGCAGGGGAATATGGCGAGTATGTTGGCGATAGTTGTTGGTCTTTCTGTATAGGCGATGCGGTACGGGTAAGGTTGAGAGGCGGCGGCGTTGTCATCCCCGGGGGTTTCTGGTAGACAGGCGACAGACCCGGCGATGAGTGCTGGGGAGAACAAGCGCGCTCCACAATGATGCGCCGCGGCTGTGGGGCGGCGATCTCCTTGTCGCGCTCAGCGAATCGGTCAACCTCGACCTCTTGAAGTAATGACTGAAGAAAGCCCGGCGCAGGAGTGGAACTTTCACCAGCTGGAGCCGCGGGTGGTGACGACGCAGCTGCAGGGGCATGCGTGTTAGTCGCCGTGTTGCGACGTGCAGCAGCCGATGATGACTCTCCATTGTCTAAGTGCATACGAGTTCGAGGGCGCTTGAGCTTGCGTTCAGGCTTCTGCTCGCGAGGCTCAGAGTCAGCAGGCGAAGAGTCGACAGACTTGCGCTTGCGTCCCCGTCGGCTACTAGTGCTCGCCACGCTAGGGGTAGGGCGCGCGTCACCCTGGGCGAGCTGCTCACGCGCCTTCTCAAATTGATTCCACGCACGAAGCTCTTCTTGTGACTCGGGGTCTTTTGGTGTCTTTGGTGGTTCACGATGAAGCGTTCGGTTTGTAGGTCGCGCAATGGCGTTGGAGTTGCGCCGACGACCAGTTACGATGTTGTCAGCAGCGGCCTGAAAACGATTACCAGCTCCTGCTCGCCGTGCTACGCGCATGCGCTGCTCCCATCTGATGTCATCGCGGCGTGTGACATCAGATTGGTTCTCTGACTGCTCTTCCTCGTCAAAGGGAAACTCAATATCGAACTGCAGTCGGTCCCAGACGCTCTGCCAGACCCCTACCCATTCATCAGGGGCATGGTTGTGACGTGGTACACGGCTTCGACCGTTGATCCAGGCAGCGGGACCCCGGACCGCTGGTCGTCGTCGGGACGCAGCTTCCAGCAGGCTAGGATTCTCAACACAGCCCTGGCAATACCAAGGCCCACGAGATGGCATCCGATCAAGACCAGCGCAGAAGACATGGCAAAGCTGCTCGCAGCTATGGCAGTACATGAGCTGTGATGCGTCACCGAACTCGTCGCAGACCATACATGCGTCATAGCTTCCGTCATCCTCCAGTGTGTAATCGTCCTCGACAATCATAGAAGGATCGATATCGGCGACCTGTTTCTTGTCTTGCACGGTGTACTCGGATAGCTTAGGTCCTGGTAAGGTGTCAGTTGGGATTCCATCTCAACAGCGCCACTTGATGCAGCACGACATTATGGGATTGGATAGAGTTCATGCTGAGCTCGACTGACCATTTAGCCAGTAGCCAGGCTACTACCAGGCAGCAATAGCAACGTCGCAACCGCAGACTCCGTAACATCCAGGACTGACATACCTCCAACGCGTACGCTGAGCTCGACCATGTTGAAACTGGCTCGACATATCGGGCAGCTATTCGCTCGTTCAACCCAAGGCTTAAGGCACTCGTTGTGCAGATCGTGGCCGCATGGCAGTAGGTGTGCGACTAGTTCGTCTTCTTTGGTTGACTCTACAGCCACCATCTTGTTCTTGGCATGGGGTTGGGAGTCGCCATCAGCGCCATCCTCAAGCGGTTTGGTCGCAAGCGATGATGCGGTGGCGGTAGGGCCGTCGTCGTGGGGGACGAGATCGCCGAGACAGACTATGCACGTCTCGGCCATTGATGTGATGTTTGAAAGTGAAAGAGCGGAAGTACTGGTCGACGCGATTCATAAGTTGGGAAGATGATCAAGTCGAGAGAGCGGGGACTGTGGTTTAAGTAGCGGACGCTAGTGGCTTGGCCTCGCGGTCACCCTGCAGCAGCCACACACTCCTAGGCAGTCGCAGCCAACCCCGGAAACCCGTGATGTTTTCCAGAAAAAGGATGCCCAAGTGGAGACTAGTTACTTTTGGTAGTGTGAAGTATGTATCGAGTTCGTGGATCTGCTGCTAGCACTTCGTAAATGATCAGTCACTTTTCGGGCTTACCTCACCACGTGTCAAGGTTCCTTAAGTAGTCGTCCGAATGACTGGTGAGGCCACCAAGCTGCTACTCAGAATGCGAATACATTCCAACTTAATCGCTCTGCTATCTCTTCGCTTCTCGATCGCGTCAGATGCGCTTGTGGCATGTTTATGACTGCACCCTTGGCCTGAATGCGCCTGTATCGTTCTCCGGCCTGCATGTATGAGAGTAGATGAGGTGGGAAGGTCGGACATATCAGACCGGATAGGCTGGAGATGTGAACAGGCTTTTCCTCGTTGGGAAGTGTTACTATGGGATACACCGATAAGATAACGACAGCTGCCGCATGTGGTGCTCTTAGCCCGAACGCTTTGTCTACAGTGTACTGCGTGTTCTTCTCGCTGTAGACATTCTTTTCTTCCAAGAACGTCACCCATTAGTACTCAACAGAAAGAGGGAAAACATTTGACGAACGCGTCGCAGCACGGAATCTGGCGCTGCCAAGGACAGTCGTTGTATGTTCTCCACCGCGTGCGAAGACTACTCGAGACTTCCGTCTTGTGGGCAGACAGTGTATGGCAATGTAGTGGACCTTGCATTTCTATGTGTAGCGTCTCGCGCAGCTCTGTAAGCCCTGGGCGAGGATACCGCGCGACGCGGGCGATCGAGTTCGCAGTGCGGTTGCGGCGGCTTCTTGCAGGCAGCTACGTATCTCTTGGGCTCAGTTTCTCGAGTTCCCTATCCGATTTTCACATTAGCGATACTGCGAGGTATGTACATATCGCCGAAAAGCAGACCGCTTCATCTCCACGGTCGCGCCCTTCCACCAGGCTTCCCAGCCTTCGTGGATGCGTTGTTGGCGGCCGATTGGCAAATTCAGAAATACGGCCCAATCGCGCGATCAGAATGGAACAACTTGTGTGGAGGCCAAAAGGCGATAGCGGTGAGAAGGATCAGTTGTCGGCTTTGGAGGGGCATTTCTCAAATCTTGGAATCCAGTGTCTGCTGCCAAGGCGCTTGGGTCGCTTTGAGAATAGTGCGCGATCACACTGTGATCTATGCAAGGGCTTACTCTTTTTGTAGTAACGACTGTCAGCAGTCAATATAAAGGTCTTGGATCTTCCTGTGTCTTGCAACACAGCACTTGCGAAACTCTGTTTTTCTCTGCTCCAGTTGTGTTGTGACTTACATGTGACAATGCGGTATCTATCGCGCCCGCCGGCGACTGCCAGCCGCGGGATGACCTCAGGCATACCAAAAGAAGGGTCTTGTCCGAGTCGCGTAGTATTTGATGATTAGGAATTCCCCCTAGCTACAGCCACACCATCTCCTGATCGATATTCTCTCGTCTTGTCTTCTTTTCTCTCTCTCAATCATACACGTATAGCATCATGGCTCAGCAATCACGGGAATACGAGCTAATCTTGCTGGGGGCGACGGGTTACACTGGAAAACTTGTTGCGGAATGGGTCACCACCCACCTGCCGGACGATCTGAAGTGGGCTGTCGCAGGACGTAATGCGAAGAAGTTGCAGGGCGTAGTCGACGAGCTGACGAAGCTGAGGCCAAATCGCAAGCAGCCAGGTATGTGCGCTAGAATCTGCGTTCCAAACATGTGACAGACGAGGCTCGGGATGGAGCTAACGAACACCAGCCATCGAGACATGCGAGCTTGAGCGTCAGCAATTGGAGGCTCTTGTCAAGAAGACGACACTCATCATCACGACAGTAGGCCCCTTCATGCACTACGGTGAGCCTGTCCTTGCCGCCTGTGTCAACAATGGCACGCACTATCTGGACTCTACTGGTGAAGTGCCATGGATCTACGACATGGTCGCCAAGTACGATGAGCTTGCGAAGAAGAATAGAACTATCATTATACCCGAGTGTGGTCTCGACTCCGTCCCTGCGGACATCATGGCCTATGTGCTCGCGCGCGAGGTGCGCAAGCGCCACAACGCCCCCTGCGAGCGCGCCATCATGACACTGTATGACTTCAAGTCCGGTATCAGTGGCGGAACATCCCTCACCATGCTGGAGCTCTTCAAGAAGTACTCTCTCAGCCATCTCGGAAAGTCAATGCACCCATACTCTCTGTCGCCCGTCAATGCAGACAACGTTGTCGCATCACCATCGGGAAGCTTTCCGTACAACCTTTT